GTGCCCTAGTCTTGTGACCTGCTTGTGTCAAGTTTGTGCCCTAGTCTTGTGACCTGCTTGTGTCAAGTTTGTGCCCTAGTCTTGTGACCTGCTTGTGTCAAGTTTGTGCCCTAGTCTTGTGACCTGCTTGTGTCCAGTTTGTGCCCTAGTCTTGTGACCTGCTTGTGTCAAGTTTGACTGTGCTCCACCAGGTGCTACAGTGAACACCCAGAGCTTGAGTGGCAAGACGCCGCTGATCCAAGCCATAGACAACAAGAGTCTGAGAATCGTGGAGCTGCTTATCGAAGCTGGGGCCGACTTGGACCTGGCTGACAACAAAGGCACCACTCCTTTGTTTGCCTGCCTGTCTATGGGCAAAGGCATGGTACTGGACATCCTCAAAGCTCTGGTAGCAGGTGGGTCATTCTCTTTCCTGATCTCTAGATCACAATCAGGACATCCAGTTACATTTAGCTGCTCAGTCTTCTGTCTTGGCATTGGATTGTTGGAGTCTTGGTTGAAATAACTTCCTTATCTTCTTTCTTGTGTAAACACCAGTGTGAACTAGTTGTTCATTCACTTCTGGACACATCCGTTTTACATGTCTGCTTATTTGTGTGCAGACTGTTGGTAACTAGCCTCTAGGAGAGATTCACTTGGAAATCAAAGCAAACAGCCCTAATTAGTTGCCTGTTATGACTTGGAGGCAGTGGGTCAAACCCCTTCTCCCCTCCCCCCACCCCCTTCCCCCATGCATACAGTTGGGGCGGGAACTCACACAGGTGAAATAACCTAGACGAATTCTAGGATTGCATCCTAATAAATCATCTCTGCAGGTTTGATATTATTGTACTGGTCTTGTGCAGCAGCTGGTTCCTGGCCTGGTGGAGGGGACAGAGACGTCTGCAACAAACAGTCACCTTGTGGATGTTATTTTGGTGCTGGGTGAGGAGACCAATCTGTCCAAACAACCTTAAATTGGTGTCCTTGCCTGGGCTCCGGTGAACTGAAGGCTGGTGTATCTGATTTACTGACAACTTTTACATTCAGCCAAGAAACCAAGTCTGGAAGTCAACTTTGTTTCCTTAATACGAACAGATATTGACATTTATGGACATATCAGATTTGATCCTCCAAGCTGGTGTTGAAAATTTTGGATGAATATGCTGAGCTTATGCTGTCCTGAACAGTAAATGAGCTGAAATATGAATACAAAACTCATGATTTGGGGGGAAGGGGGGTGTTTAATATGTATATACACACACATTTACACACACACAAAGAGAGATGGGGGAAGCCTCACATAGAGCAGGAGAGGAGACAGCCACAAGCGGGCACAAGTCACCTTTTCAACAAAAATCTGGATCTCACACAAAGGAAGACCACATCCCAGTTGAATATCTGTATGTTTGATATAACCTGGTCTGAGTGCAGCTGCAGCACACATACTTTCAGTTGTCCATCACAGCTTCTCCATCTGCCTCTGTGACTTCAAGTGGATGCTGGATTTCATCCTGATGGATAATTAATGACAATTCCAGCCCAAAGTATGTGGGCTTGAAGACATAAAGCAACCAGTGCCCGGCTATCCTCCGAATAATGGTCGGTAAAGATGGCGGCCATAAAATATCCTTTCGAGCCACAGTCACGTAACCTAATTTGCGGTTTCCCAGCGACTACCGCCACCGCCCCCACGGGGCGTGGATTGGGGCTAAACTAGATGGTTAGGACTCACGAGCATAGCTTCAGGAGATGCCGAAGCTGCTGCTCGTGGGTCCAAGCCATCTAGTTTAGCCCCAATCCACGCTGCATGAGCGGCGTGTGGGACTCATGGCGGGGGTGGTAGTCGCCAGAAAACCGCCGGAGAACCGCAAATTAAGTCGCCGGAAGTGCGCAATGGACTCGTGACTGGCTCGAAAGGATATTATGCGGCCGTCAACTTTACCGACCGTTATTCGGAGGATAGCCCAGTGCCCTTGTGCAGAAGAAAACGTGTCAGCAGTTTGGTTTTCTTCTCAAGATTTGGTTTTTGTGCCCCCCCTCCCTCTCCAGGTGGCTGTGCTGTAGATCTACCAAACAAGCAAGGAGCCACACCTCTGATGATGGCTGTTGGATTTGGTCGGATTGATGCTGCACAAGTTCTCCTGAATGCTGGTGCCAACATAAACCTGGTATACACCTGTTGGCTGCCTTTTTTCTTCTTCTTCTTCTTCTTCTTCTTCTTCTTCTTCTCTTATTCTTATTTTCTTACTCATGCATTATTAACTCTTCTGCTTACGTCTTCTTTCCTCCTCTTCTTCTTCTTCTTCTTCCTTCTCTTCTCTTATTCTTCTTCTGTTCTTCTTCTTCTTCTTCTTCTTTCTTCTTCTTATTCTTCTTCTTTCTTCTTCTTCTTCTTCTTCTTCTTCTTCTGCTTCTTTCTTCTTCTTCTTCTTCTTCTTCTTCTTCTTCTTCTCTTCTTCTTCTTCTTCTTCTTCTTCTTCTTCTCCTCATCCTTCTCCTTCTCTTCCTCATACTCATTCTTCTTTCTCTTTGTCTTCTTCTTTTTCTGACATGTGTGTGATTTCTGACATATATTTGATTTCTGACATATAAGTTTTTTCTGACATGTATTTGATTTCTGACATATAAGTGATTTCTGATATGTGTTTGATTTCTGTCATGTGTTTGATATCTGTCATGCGTTTGATTTCTGTCATGTGTTTGATTTCTGTCATGTGTTTGATCTCTGTCATGAGTTTGATTTCTGTCATGCGTTTGATTTCTGTCATGTGTTTGATTTCTGTCATGTGTTTCGATTTCTAACATGTGTTTGGTGTGTTGCAGGTGGACAAGGCTGGCAAGAATGTATTCCACATGGCTGCAGGTGTCAACACAGCTCTCTTTCTCATCAACAATGGTGCTGCCTGTGACTGCCCAGACAAACACGGTGAGTCTGGAGGTCATCTCTCTTTCTCTGAGACTGAAGGTGATTTCACATTCTCTATGGAGGTGATTTGTTGTTTCTTTAAGACTTGAGGTTACCTCTATTGCTCTGAGACTAGAGGTTATTTCTCTTTCTCTGAGACTGGAGGTTACCTCTATTTCTCTGAGACTGGAGGTTATTTCTCTTTCTCTGAGACTGAAGGTTATTTCTCTTTTTCTGAGACTAGAGGTTATTTCTCTTTCTCTGAGACTGGAGGTCATTCCTCTTTCTCTGAGACTGGAGGTCATTTCTCATTTCTCTGAGACTGGAGGTCATTTCTCTTTCTCTAAGACTGGAGGTTATTTGTCTTTCTCTGAGACTGGAGGTTATTTCTCTTTCTCTAAGACTGGAGGTTATTTGTCTTTCTCTGAGACTGGAGGTCATTTCACATTCTCTGAGACTGGAGGTGATTTCTCTTTTTCTGAAACTGGAGGTCATTTCACATTCTCTGAGACTGGAGGTCATTTCACATTCTCTGAGACTTAATGTATTTCTCTTTCTCTAAGCGAGTCTGTACTAAACAACTCACTCTAAGTTGATATTGACTGCATACATTAGACCACTGAGATATTGAAGCGTTATCAAGTCACTTGACAAGATACAAAGCCCACAGCTAAGGAAACGCTGCCAATAGGGGGGGGGGGGGGGGGGAGAGAAAGAGAATGGAAGAGCCTTCTACAGTCTCTGCTATTGTTATGCAGCATGGCTAGGCAGCAGGTGAATTGCTTACTTCTACACAAACTGTAATTTTCTTCTTCTTCACCATCAATGGTTGTAAACTCTAGCAGAAAGTTATGGTTGCTCTCCCCCCTCTGAATTTAGGTCAACTGCCCGAATTTGAGTGTTTCCCCATCCATTTGACAGATCTGCCTTATGTGTATGCAAACTGTTTGTTCCTTGCCTCTCAGCCAGGTGCACGCTGACTTGCAAGGAAGCCTTCAGATAGTCGGCTATCACAACATACTTGTTGTAGCAGTGGGTCTCTTGTTGTTTTCCCCACTGTGGGACCCCGGAACCCATATGGGGTTCTCTGTTATCAGTTATAACTGACATAACCCTCATTACTGATAAAAACTTGTTTATCTTTCAGGTGTGCGACCTATTGACACTGCAGCTAAAGTAGGACACATCGGCATGTTACGGCTACTTCTGGGCTGTGACTGTCAGCGGTCACTTGCTATCATGGACGTACCCAGGGTGGTCCAGTCCCGTCAGTCTCTGCCTATATTTGATCGCTGGCTGCAACAAGAGCTCTATAACCCCAGGGAGTTGAAGAGACTCTGTAGACAGACAATCCGCCAATGCTTGGGCCAAAGGAACGCATCCCACATGGAGGTGCTGCCTCTCCCGCGACTTTTGAAAGACTTCCTGCTGGCCAAACATCTAGACCTGACCTTTGACAGTGTTCCTGTGGAATCCATGAACACACTGCCTGTCTCACTGGACAATATAGGTAATTTAAGTCCTCGATGACCGGATCACCAGATTGCTTCTGCTGTCAGTACGTCTAAAAACATTTTAGTCCTTGATAACCGGATCACCAGATTGCTTCTTTTGTCAGTACGTCTAAAAACATTTTAGTCCTTGATAACCGGATCACCAGATTGCTTCTTTTGTCAGTACGTCTAAAAACATTTTAGTCCTTGATAACGGGATCACCAGATTGCTTCTGCTGTCAGTACGTCTAAAAACATTTTAGTCCTTGATAACCGGATCACCAGATTGCTTCTGCTGTCAGTACGTTTAAAAAATATTTTTATTCTCGGCGGGATCTCCAAATTCTTTCTTCTATTATCGTTTCTAGAAAATGTTTTAACTCTTGATGACTAGATCACCATATTCTTTCTCCTGTCAGCATGTCTAAAAAATAGTTTAGGAAAGGTTAGAAAAATAAAAAGCTAAAAATAACAACAACAGTTTTGTGTCAGTTGTTGTGGCCATTAGCCTTCGTTAGCAAAACAACGACCAAACATCCAAATATACTAAATGTGAAATGTCTACATTGAAATATTGATGGGGACAAGGCAATAGTAAACAACAGCTTGATAATAAAATATGTGTGTACTGTTTGGACTATTGTGAAGCTTGGAATTAAAGCACCTAGACACGCACTGCCTTATATATTGGAGTGTGGACACGCAAGGTGTAATTCGGTCAGTAGGTGTAGACGACATGGATGCCGGGTGTGTGAGTAATTAGGTTGCAGTTGAAAGAAGGTTGAGGTTTTTTCAGATTCAGAAACTTTAGGGTGAAGCAAGGGAGAGGGGGTTGGGAGGCCATGCCAAATGGTACTGTTAGAATGCAAAGTTCATGAAAGCACTGCCACGTGTGGTCCGTGGCAGATGCTGGCTGAGGTTAGAGTGCAAAGTTCATGTGAGCACTGCCAGTGTGGTCTGTGGCAGATGCTGGCTGAGATTAGAGTGCAAAGTTCATGTGAGCACTGCCAGTGTGGTCCGTGGCAGATGCTGGCTGAGGTTAGAGTGCAAAGTTCATGTGAGCACTGCCACGTGTGGTCCGTGGCAGATGCTGGCTGAGGTTAGAGTGCAAAACGTTAAATGTTCACTCAGTCTTTGCCATAAAAACTAGGATAGTTAGCTATCATCCTCACCATCTTTGCTTCCCAAAACATTCAGAAAATGATCTGGCACTCAGTTTTAGTTAATTGGTAATCCTCAGATTGGGTTGGGCAGTCCCCAGATTGGGTTGGGCAGTCCCCAGATTGGGTTGGGCAGTCCCCAGATTGTGCTGGTCAGTCCCTAGATTGTGATCAGGCCGCAGACTGGTCAGTCCCCAGATTGTGCTGGGCAGTCCCCAGATTGGATTGGGCAGTCCCCAGACTGGATTGGGCAGTCCCCAGACTGGGTTGATCAGGCCGCAGAGTTGCGCTGATTAAAAGAACCTTCGCTGGAGACTGAGCATTCCACTACTGTGTTTAGTGCACACACAGAAAAAAAAAACCAACAGAAATAATAAAAATGACTCATGACAAAAGAGGGATTAAATGAAAGCCAAAATTCTAAGGCACAAATACAGTAAAAGTAAAGTTGTAGATGAATAAAGTGTGTGAATATTTTACTGAAATGTAGCCAGTGTTAGTGCCTTGAAATGACGTTGATTGTGCCATATTTTTTTGAATCAGTGCCATTTTGTTGCATCTTTTTATATGTTGAATATAGATTTTGAAAGATATGACTGTCTTGAGTTTGCTTTAATTTATTTGTCACAAAAAATTTGACTTCATTGTTGCCTACATTTTTTAACTCTTTCTGGCTGTGGCAATTGTTACAGTCACATATTAGTTTGTTACAGTCACATATTAGTTTGTTACAGTCACATATTAGTTTGTTACAGTCACATATTAGTTTGTTACAGTCACATGTTTGTTTGTTACAGTCACATGTTTGTTTGTTACAGTCACATATTAGTTTGTTACAGTCACATATTAGTTTGTTACAGTCACATATTAGTTTGTTACAGTCACATATTAGTTTGTTACAGTCACATGTTAGTTTGTTACAGTCACATGTTAGTTTGTTACAGTCACATATTAGTTTGTTACAGTCACATATTAGTTTGTTTGAGTGGGTTGAACTAGTGGTAGCCTGGCAAGATGGAGACAGTAGCAGTTAGTTCAGACAAATGTTTTTGACTTAGTGATCCGGCTACTTGGGCTAAAGAAGCTATACTTCCCTTACCAAATACTGGAGTCTGTTGCGTCAGCAAATGATGAACCTTATCAGTTGCAGAAAACGTAGCAGCAAAGAGCCAGATTGGCACAACAACTACCAGAGATCAGTTTGAGTCTGCGGCGTGCAAGCTGGCAAGTTATACTATGCTGGATAATTATATCTAGACACATTTCTTTTGCATGCTCAGATCAAATGATAAAAGTATATTAACTTGATACACAGAAACTTCGAACACCTGCATCTACAGGAACAGACATTGTTCCCTTCTATCAGACACTGGTTCCTGGGACATCTGCAGGCACAAACTTGGTTTCCTTGCTTTCAGAAACTAGTTCCTGGGACATCTGCAGGATCAGATGTGGTTCCCTTGCAATGATACATTAGTTCTTAGGACATCTGCAGGATCAGACGAGGTTCCCCTTGCTATGAGACACTAGTTCCTGGAATATCTGCATGCACAGAAATGGTTCTCTTGCTATGATACAACTGTTCCTGGGACATCTGTGATGCCATGCATGTCTTCCACTGATTTATGAAGTCTGTAATTCCATACATGTCTTCCACTGATTTATGAAGTCTGTGATGCCCATGTATGTCTTCCACTGATCTATAAAGTCTGTGATGCCACGTATGTCTTACACTGATCTATAAAGTCTGTGATGCCAGGCATGTCTCCCACTGTTACCTGCAACTTGATTTACTCTGGAGTGCCAGCCGGCCAAACCTGGGATCTCTCTACTGTGTGTAAACAGTGTGTCTATCTTTCACCTGAGCTTCCTCTGGGCATTCCTTCCTATATGGACACGTGGATCTGGTTTAGTTAACCTGAAACAGTTGTCAGAAACCATTCATACCACAGACGCTTGGATAACAAGGCCACTTTATAGTTGACAGATACAATACATACCACAGAGGCTAGGATAACAAGGTCACTTTATAGTTGACAGATACCATACGAACCACAGACGTTGGGATAACAAGGTCACTTTATAGTTGACAGATACCATACGAACCACAGACGTTGGGATATCAAGGTCACTTTATAGTTGACAGATACCATACGAACCACAGACGTTGGGATATCAAGGTCACTTTATAGTTGACAGATACCATCCATACCACAGAGGCTAGGATAACAAGGCCACTTTATAGTTGTCAGAAACCATCCATACCACAGAGGCTAGGATAACAAGGCCACTTTATAGTTGACAGATACAATACATACCACAGAGGCTAGGATAACAAGGCCACTTTATAGTTGACAGATACAATACATACCACAGACGTTGAGGGAAATCGCAGCTGGAGATTGCGCCTATGGATTTCATAAACAGATTTTTAGGGAAAAGAATAGAATCACTGTCCCTAATAAGTATCGAGTTATTACATGAGTTAAAAGCTCACATTTCATTTGTTACTTGTATTAAACTCCAACAATCAATTGTTACGTGTGTTATACTCTGAATTTCAATAGTAATATAAATTAAACTTCCATCATCCAGTTGTTAAATATGTTGACCTCAAGTATTTAGTTGATACATTTGCTAACCATGTGTGTCCATTAGCTACATGAGTAACACTCCAACATCCAGTTGTTACATAAGTTAATCTCCAGCATCCCATTATTACATAAATATACCTCCAACATCTTGTTGTTACATGCAATTAACTCCAACATTCAGTTGTTACATGAGTTATTGCTACCTCGACAGATAGGACAGTAACAAAGTCACCAAACCACGTAGACATGTAAGACAGTAACAAAGTCCCCTAGTCACGTAGACAGATGACATAGTAACAAAGTCCACAGATCACGTAGACAGATGACATAGTAACACTGTCCAAAGGCCACTTAGACAGATGACATAGCAACAATGTGCAAAGGCCACGTAGACAGATGACATAGTAACAAAGTCCACAGATCACGTAGACAGATGACATAGTAACATTGTCCACAGGCCACTTAGACAGATGACATAGTAACAATGTGCAAAGGCCACGTAGACAGATGACATAGTAACAATGCCACTAAACCACGAAGACAGATGACATAGCAACAATGTGCAAAGGCCAGGTAGACAGATGAGACAGTAACAAAGCACTCAGGCCCCGCAGACATATAAGACAGTAACAAAGTCCACAGGCCACGTAGACTGATGAGACAGTAACAAAGTCCACATGCCACGTAGACTGATGAGACAGTAACAAAGTCGACAGGCCACGTAGACTGATGAGACAGTAACAAAGTCCACAGGCCACGTAGACTGATGAGACAGTAACAAAGTCCACAGGCCACGTAGACTGATGAGACAGGAACAAAGTCGACAGGCCACGTAGACTGATAAGATAGTAAACAAGGTCGCAGGCCAAGTAGACATATGTCACAGTAACGAATTCCTCAGGGTTGTAGACTGATGAGAAAGTAACAAAGTCCGCAGGCCATTTAGACATTTGACAGAGTAACAAAGTCTTCAGGCCACGTAGACTGATGAGACAGTAACAAAGTCCCCGGGTCACGTAGACTGATGAGACAATAACAAAGTCCCCGGGTCACGTAGACTGATGAGACAATAACAAAGTTCTCAGGCCACGTAGACTGATGAGACAGTAACAAAGTTCTCAGGTCACCTAGACTGATGACACAGTAACAAAGTTCGCCGGGTCACGTAGACTGATGACACCGTAACAAAGCTCTCAGGCCACGTATACCGATGAGAGGGTTTGCGTTCCTAGGTCTCGTGCACGCATGACGAACCCACATACAGGTGTTTCGTCTGCAATATA